AGAGGACTGCAGAGTTCTCCTGGGGGCGGGTGAAAGGAGCTTGAAACAATTCCATGGCTTGCACAGTAAGGGGAGGAAACAACCGTAAGGAGAAGAGCAGAGGTGAGAAAGGAGAGACGTGCCTCTGGGTGCAGGGATAGCGTCCATTTGTGAAGCTCGGTCTCCCAGATGTTCTCAGAGGCATTATCTCATTTGAGCTCCCTGCGACCCTCTGAGGGTGCATGACGGCGTGTGTTCAGCAGGCCCTGGGGGCCTACTCTGGGCCAGCCATCTTATAGATGAGGAAACTGAGGCTCAAAGAGGTCAGGAGATGTTCCCCAGGGTGACACAGCCAGACTGGCACTGGCTGCAAGAGAGACAGAAAGACAGGAGAAAGGAGGTGGGCCTGGAGGGGCAGGCAGGGTCCCAGGAACCAAGGGAGGGAGTTTGGATTTCATCCTGTTACAGGAAACCCTGGGGGTGCTGGAAGACGGGGGCTGGTGTGACTGCGCCGATTGTTTCCGAGGGCTCAGCTGCTGTGTGAAGAAGGGCATGTTCTCAGATCAGAGCCTCTGTGATCCAGGCTCAGCCTTTAGGAGGCACAGGTGTTTATGGCAAACTGCTCTTCCATTGGAGTGAGGGGAGTAAGGTGGACCAAGTTCAGAAGAGGTAAGTGGTCCCTGAAGGCTCTGGGAGGAGGTAGGAGCTCTGGCCCAGAGTGATGCTTGAAGCCCTGCTCAGCCAGACTTGGCTGGGGAAGTTGATGCACGTTGCTGAGCCTCAGTACTCCAGCTTGCCGTCTGTAAAATGGGGGTAATATTACATTGACCCTGTGGGGCTGTTGCAAGGAGTAAATAAGAAAATAAGGACAGGATGCTCAGAACCGTGCCTGGCACATAGGAATTCCATGCAAACACCAGATGTCATTGTGTGTGTCAGTGATGCAAGGCCATACTTTAGGCTCTGTGAAGTTACTCACTTAAGGAAGGATGAAGCTGTAGAACATGGGCAGAAACTTGGAGATCCTCTGGTCTGGTCTCTGTGCACTGAACAGCTAGGCCCAGCCCTGGGAGCAGCGTGCCCAAGGTTGCGCAGTCCTGCAGGCAGCGCGTAGACAGGGCCTGGCCTTCTCCAGTCCTCGCGGGCACCCTGCGTTGGATCCATGCATTTCATGGTCCATTATTCCTTGGAGAGAGGTGCTGTGAGCTGTGGAATCAAATCCAGGGAGAGTGTGGTGGCGCCTCTTCTGAGCTGCCTTCCTGGGGGAGGTGAGCTTTCTGGAAAGTACCAGGGACAGGGAGAAGGTGAGGGCCTGGGGGACTTCTCCTGGGGACTCAGCGCCTCTCGCTCTGCCCCTGGCCTCGCCCGCCACCTCTGCTGCACCTCCCCAGGCCTGCGCTGCCTCGGCTGAGGACGCAGGCCTTAGGGGGCTGCGGGCTGGGGATGAGATCACCGCCAGGAGCAGCCTTCCTGCTTGGCTCGGGGTCTGGCGCCACCTTGTGGCCGCGAGCCAAGGCTGTCTGCACAGGCGGCCCTTGTGGTCTCTGAGAGACCCGTTCTGGGGTTTCACGCGTACCCCTCCGTTTTCTACGCGGAACCCAAGGACTTAAGGATGGAAGAGGAGCGGGCGGGAGCCAGAGGGGGTGGAATAGGAGGGAAGCCGTGGGTCGAGGAAATCCTGAGCCGGACTCCACGACTTAGCTTCTTCTCCAGGGTGGCAGGCTGGTGGCCCAGGGGGCATGATTTCCAAATTTGGTTTCGGACTTGATCCTGGAGCACCCTGGGCTTCTGCCATCTGCTTGTCAGCCCCGGGGAGGAGGCTCTGGCTTTGCCCACTCCCACCCCCGTTTCTCCCCATACCCTGGGGTGCTCTCCTACAGGAAATGCAAGGTTGGTTTCTCTGGCAGACCTTGTGCGGGAATCAGCCTGCTCCGGGCTCATGGCCTGCCATTTCCACAGCCCGAGTGCGCAGAGGGGCTTGTGGCTTGGGGAAAATGGGGTCGAGGGGCAGATGGAGTGCCCATTTGCCCCCACAGGGCAGGCTTGGGTGAATCTGCATGTCAGTGTCTGCGACCCACCTGCCCAGGCTCGGCTCCGCCGCATAGTCATCCCCCCGCCCCGGGCCCCCCGTGAGGCTAGAAGCAGCGTCTGTGGTCTGCGTGCAGCCTTGGGAAGTCCAGGCCAGTGGGCTGACCGCGTGGGAGGCCGTGGACCCCCGCGCTGTGTGCTGGGGATGCCATGAGGGTGGAGCTCAGCTGTGGGACCCACGGCCCGAAGCCTGCGCGGGGCCCACGGAGGGCTGGGTGCTGGGGCCTCGGCGCCTTGGAGGGCGCCCCCGTCCCCAGCTCTGCCTTCGGGGGCCGCGTCAGATCTGCCCGGTCCAGCCCGACGCTTCCCTCCCTCCTTCCTGGACAGTCTGACCCCGTCCCTCCCAAACCGCCTGTGGGCACGTGGCCCTTCCCCGCCCACGCCCGCTTTGCCGCCCCCTCCTCTCGATGCGCCCCTGCCCCAGGCCCCGGATCCTGGCCCCCCTCGCTCCCCTCCTCCCTCCTTCCACGCCCCCCACGTCCCCCTCCCGTTCTGTCTCCTCTCAGTGTGACCCTCCCTCCATCCCCGTCCCTGTCCCCCTCTCAGTGGCCCCCATCGTCAGGGTGACCCCCTCCCTGCCCTTTCCTGATCCGCTCCCGGGGCCTCTGATGTTTAAAGGTGACTCACGGGAAGTACCACAGCCAGTAAGTGAGGGAACCTGGGACAGAACCAGAACTGGGTGTTTGGTTTCCCTTCAGAGCCTCAGTTTTCCCACGTGTTAAATGGCGATACCCAGACCTGCCCCACAGGTGTGACGGGGACCCGGGAGAGGACTGGCCTGGCAGTCCCCACGGCGCTGCACGTATCTCACTGCACCCCTCCCCGCGTGCCTCCCTCACCCGTCCCCTCCCCCATGCCCCACACCCCTCTCCATCCCCCTTTCCCTCCCCTTTCCCCTCCCCCATGCCCCACACCCCTCTCCATCCCCCTTTCCCTCCCCTTTCCCCTCCCCCATGCCCCACACCCCTCTCCATCCCCCTTTCCCTCCCCTTTCCCCTCCCCCATGCCCCACACCCCTCTCCATCCCCCTTTCCCTCCCCTTTCCCCTCCCCCATGCCCCACACCCCTCTCCATCCCCCTTTCCCTCCCCTTTCCCCTCCCCCATGCCCCACACCCCTCTCCATCCCCCTTTCCCTCCCCTTTCCCCTCCCCCATGCCCCACACCCCTCTCCATCCCCCTTTCCCTCCCCTTTCCCCTCCCCCATGCCCCACACCCCTCTCCATCCCCCTTTCCCTCCCCTTTCCCCTCCCCCATGCCCCACACCCCTCTCCATCCCCCTTTCCCTCCCCTTTCCCCTCCCCCATGCCCCACACCCCTCTCCATCCCCCTTTCCCTCCCCTTTCCCCTCCCCCATGCCCCACACCCCTCTCCATCCCCCTTTCCCTCCCCTTTCCCCTCCCCCATGCCCCACACCCCTCTCCATCCCCCTTTCCCTCCCCTTTCCCCTCCCCCATGCCCCACACCCCTCTCCATCCCCCTTTCCCTCCCCTTTCCCCTCCCCCATGCCCCACACCCCTCTCCATCCCCCTTTCCCTCCCCTTTCCCCTCCCCCATGCCCCACACCCCTCTCCATCCCCCTTTCCCTCCCCTTTCCCCTCCCCCATGCCCCACACCCCTCTCCATCCCCCTTTCCCTCCCCTTTCCCCTCCCCCATGCCCCACACCCCTCTCCATCCCCCTTTCCCTCCCCTTTCCCCTCCCCCATGCCCCACACCCCTCTCCATCCCCCTTTCCCTCCCCTTTCCCCTCCCCCATGCCCCACACCCCTCTCCATCCCCCTTTCCCTCCCCTTTCCCCTCCCCCATGCCCCNTTCTTGGTCCTCAGTGGCCCCAAAAGCGTGCTTTCTGAGCCTGCCTTGGGCCCGGCACCGCCCGTTCCTCTGGCCCCGGCCCAGCCTGAAGGGTTGCTGTCTGACTTAGGTGGGCTCCTTAATCTTCCCTCTGACTGCTGCTTCCAAAGTTCACTTAAAAGCAAGGTGCGGAGGTTTCCCGTCACAGACCCAGGCTGTGCCCCCACCACGCAGGCTCCCTAACCTCCCCAGCGACCCCGCGAGGCTACGGTTCTTCCCCATGTTAAAGAAGGATGACGAGAAGGCACAGCAGGAGTGACTAGCCCAAGGCCCCACAATTACAAGTGGCAGAGCTGGGATTTGAGCCCAGAGCCCATGCCCTCCACCTGTACCTACTTCCTTTGCCCATTTTCCCTCCCGATGGGGCGGGGTCAGTGCATCTGTGTGTGTGTCCTGGGCCACACCCGGACAGAGGCCTCATCGCAGGCCGTGTGTCTCCCTCGGGTAGGGGTGGGCGTGCACAAGCTGCGCTTCCCACCGCCTGGGGCAGCTCCTAGTCGCGCCACCCTCCAGCTATGGAACCATGCAAGTGAGCCTGTCTGTCCCACGCGGGAATCACACCTGCCTGTTTCCGGAGACGCAGGCGGCATAAGGCCAGTCAGCCAGTGTTGCGTAGGAGGAGCTTCTCAAGTGCTAATTTCCCTTCCCTTCCTCCTCCAGAGAGGGGGCAGGGCTGTGCACTGGCGGAGAAAACCCCGCTGGAATGTTCCCCCTGGGCCCCCGAGCCTGAGCAAGCCCGCCTGGGCTCCGGGCTCACCTGTAATGCTTCAGCGGCTTTGAGAGATCATGTGATCCAACTCTTTCATTTCACAGTTTACATACCCGAAAGGGGACGGCTTGCTTAGGGATTTGCCTGGGACCCCTTCCCCGGCCTGTCTCTCCTCACTGCCACCCCCCACCCTGAAGACTTAGCACCCTGTCCTGGGGCTGGGAGAACCCTGCGAGCCGGTGTGAGCCTCTGAAAAACCTCAGAGTGAAGGAGGGGACGCGGGCACAGGTGGCTCTGGGCTTTGGCGGACGGCACGGCCCTCCCTAGCCCCCGCCCCCGCCCACCCTCTCTGTTCTGTCCCGTCTCCCCGGCAGGTACATCCGCACCATGTACTTGGGGATTCAGAGCCAGCGGCGGAAGGAACACCAGCGACGCTTCTACTGGGCTATGATGTACGAATATGCAGACGTCAACATGTTGCGCCTCCTGGAGACGTTTCTGGAGAGCGCCCCCCAACTGGTGCTACAGCTCTGCATAATGATCCAGAAGAACAGCGCCGAGACGCTGCCCTGTGAGTGCCCCCGCCCTGCTGGCCTGGGAAGCCCTCCATCTGGGGACTGCCAGTGGCCGCCCCGTGCACACTCAGGGCCTGGCACACGCCGTGGGCATCGCCCACCCTGGTTCCTGAGGCCTCCCGATGCCCAGGCCTGTGTGCGATGGTGACCCAGCCCACAGCAGGATTGCACAAGAGACGCGGGCATTTCCAGGTGCAAGCGAGCTCTGCCTGCTGCTGACCACTGTGCTCATATAAACTGCAGAGCCAGGGGCTCAGATGGCCCTGGGAGCCGCAGAGCAGAGGGCCCCGGGTCTCCCGATCCAGGGGAGCAGCTTCTTTTCTTAGGCGCTGCTCTGAGCTGAGGTGTCTGCTCATGTACCGGATGGGGGAGGCAGCCCGCATAGCACATGACCAAAAGAGGACGTGATTCGGGGCAGCGCCAGCAGGTGTGGGCATTTTAGAGCTGTTGCTCCAAACCAAAGCTTGTGGAGGCCCATTTACAACAGGCTCAGTGAGCCCCATTCCAGTGAGATGGGTGTGGGGGTCCAGGCCGGGCACACCCCTGCCCAAGGTCCCCCTCCCCTCCTGGATCCTGTAGCCCCAGCTGGTCTCCAGGGAACCCTGGGGGCCCCAGAGGCCCCTCCCAACAGCTCTGGCCTGTCTGGCAGCAGAAGTCTCCAGGCACCGCCGGTTGCCGAGAAGCCTTCCAGGGCTTGAAGTCTCTGGCTTCAGCGGAGCCTCACCCTGGGCACGGGAGGGCAGAGCAGCCTGCCAGTGCCAGGGCCGCAGCCCAGCGCAGGTATCAGGGGTCTGGAGCTCAGCGCGGGAGGAGGGCTGGGACCGGGAGAGGCTGGAAATCGTAACACTTGGGGACACTGTGATGTTTAGTCTGGGGAGGGCTTGGGACACATGAATCCTAGTATTGGAAGGGCTGCTGGGGGTGGAGGGTGGGGGTGGGGAGAGCCATCATCTCCGAGGGTGGAGGAGCTACAGGGAGACTGACAGTGATTTAACCCGGAGACATTTCAAGCAGCTGGAACCTTCCAGTGACGGAAAGGCTCCCATGAGGTAGTGAGCTTCCTGTTAGTGGGAATATCCAAGCCAAGGTATTTCTGAAGAGACTCAGCATAGAGGTCCCTGATCCAGCAGGAGTGTGTACGAGCTGGGGCACGGGGGGCTGCGCTCTGTGCCCTGTGGCTCCCTGGCCAGTGGGTCTTCTGGCCTCCTGGGTCCTCACTGTGGTCCTGCGGCAGCCCGGGTGCCCCAGAGGGCCCTCAGTGCCACGTGTGCTGGGACACCTGCCAGGGGGCTCTCCACTGTGACCCCCCCCCCCCACTTCCCAAGCAGACAAGCGGCCTTTCGCCAAACAGCTTTGCCTTCCTGCTTTTCCACACGGCCAGGCCCTTTGCAAACCATCCCCCTTGCTTGGGCGGAAAGGGAATTTAATCTTTAAAGGCCAGTGGGGGAAGACTGAGTTCAAGCTGGTGAGCTCCATCCCGGCATGTAGAGCCTGGAGACCTAGTTCTGAACCCAGCTGTGCTGCGGGTATGCTCCCGGCCCCATGGGGACTGTGCTCCCAGGTGAAGCCGCCTGCCCACCCTCAGCCAGGACAGCCCAGCTCAAAGTGCCCCCAAGGGCAACGGGCCTCAGAGCAGCTCCCTCCCCTCAGACAGCAGGGGCTGAGTCCCTGCTGACACCCCACGGAAGCAAGGAGACATGTGGGGAGCCTGCCCTGGGCCCCTGTCCCTCCTGTCCCCCCACAGGACCAGCCTGTGGGAGCCCAGCTGCCGGCAGCAGACAGGCCGAGCCTCTGCCCTCCGGAACCCAGGAAGCGGGTGGGACAGCTTTCAGCCTGCACAGCCCCACTGTCAGGGACAGACCCCATGGCCCCAGGGCGTCCAGCTGCTGGGAGCCAGAGGCTGGTGGGCCTGCAGCGCCAGCCTCTGGGCCTGGAAGGGAGCTAGGAGGAGCTGAATAGATGTCTCGCTCCAGCCGGACGTGCCGAGCAGGAAGCCCCACCGAGGAAGCAGGGCAGACAGTGTGCTCTGGTCTCCCCTTGGCCTTTGGGCACACACACCGTTCACACACCCATCTCCACTGGCATCAGGAAGAATTAGGGAGCATGGGCACCCTCATGAGTGCCTGGTCTTCAGGGCATCTGCCTGGGCCACAAGCTGGTGGGATGGCTGCCCACGGGAGTCCCTGCTTCTCCAGGCCCCAGATGACAGTGTGTGTCCTTTGTCATCAGCACCAAGAGAATCACTGGTGATTGATCTGGGGAAACCGGCATCACAGCACTGTGTCTGAAATGTGCAGCTTTCCCTACAAGCCCTGAGAGTGCCAGGCCCCCTTCCTGCCCTTGGAGTGTTCACGCCGAGTCTACCCTCAGAGCAGGAGACGATAGCTGATTTTTAGGGAGATGCAATGAGATGTAATGCACAGAGATCGCTTTGTAAACTGTTGAGCTCCTCAGGCACCTAAGGGGGTGTGTCTGTCATTTCTGGGGCTCAGGGGTGAGAGGTGTGGGTCGTGTCCTAGGGAGATCCTGTTCCTGCCTTCGGCCCTGTGGTTACCCCAGTCCCGGCCTCTTTCCTGGGCTTGTCCTTTCTACCAGTTTCTCAGATTATAAAGAGAGAGGCTGGATAGGATTCCCTGGGGAGGAAACCCAAGGGGCAGCAGATGTTGCTGCCACAAGTCCTGATGGCTTGGGAACCCCCTGGGCTGTGGGCTGCTTCCATGAGTAGGGACCTTGGAGAGGGTGGCAGGTCCCTGGTGCTGTGCTGCCTCCGCCCCCAGGTGAGCTCCCCCGGCTGTCCTTCCGTGTGCCCCTCTTCTAGCGCCAGCAGCTGAGAGGCCGTGAGCATTTCCCCACGTTTGTTTGGAGTGTGGAACAGGTGTTTCTCAAAATACATGTGGAACTGCTGTGCTAAACAAAGGTCAGTGGTGGTCTTAGCCCCACTGGGTTGTGAATCCCCAAGGCAGGGATGGGGTCTGCAGCGTTAGTCGGAGACGGGAGGGAAGGAAACCTGCTGCCGTGGAGCCAGACTGCCGGGGCTTGGCATTCTCCTCCCGATGAACTTCTAGAAGGTCTGCTCATCCCCAGACTGTTTTCTTATATGATAGGCGATGCTTCCTTCTCTTTTCCCATAAAAAGCTGCATGATGTGTATACATTTAAGGAAAGTCAGTTTAAGTATTAGAAATTGGAGAAAGGGAAGGAAAACCTATGAACTTGGAAGGGACCTGTTGGTGACATGGAATCTTGCTGTGAGAACTTGGAGTGGGTCAGCATGGACTACTGGGGGGCCCCCACGCTGCTACCTGGCAGCCATTCGACCTCTGGGGACTTACTGAGCCTTTGGGCTCCTCAGTCCTCTCTTACCTGCAGCGGGGATAACTTTAGCACCTACCACTGAAGGTTGTGACAAGCGTTTGATGACATGACAGATCACGAGTGCCTAGTACAGCATCTGGCCGTGTTGTTCCTGGCCGAGTTGTTACTGTAGATACATTGAACTGGACAGCAAGCTTTACAAGTGAGCTTCAGCGTGTGCGTGCATGTGTGTGCTTCAGTGGACCTTCTCTTACATCTGTCCGCTTTATGCCAGTAATACTAGTAGATGTTTAGAAAGGTCACCGTCGCCCTAGTAAGCAAGTTTACCGTTGATCTTGCCCCGTGCCAAACTTCCAGCTTCACTCATCACTGAGTTGATTCAGTCAGTATTCCTGTATCCAATTTCCCCATAAAATCAGACTCAAGTGAAAAATATGATAATGATAAAACCACATAAATACTACGTTTGAGTCATTTGGACAACTCGGCAGGTTCTCCCTTAAATCTGAGTTCTTGCAAATATCAAATGACGATTAACAGAAAAATAGAAAGGGAGCATATCATTCTGACATGTCATCCACACTGGGAGTGAGCCTTGTGTCTGCTGAAAGCTTTGCCAGGATTCTGGGTTGTGGCAGGGTTTGGAAAGTGAGTCTGGTGTAGCGGGAACAGTCTGGCCAAGCAGTGTGTGAATTCCGCCTCTTCCATTTCCTGACATGGGGCACATCGGTTTCCTGACTGGGCTTCTCATCAGGCAGGTGGGAATAACAGCTACTTTGGGGGTGGTTGTGGGGCTCTGATGAGCTGCACGTCACCATACAGCACCTGCGTGGCATCTGAGGGGCCTTGACGTGGTCTGGTATTCCAGTCAGCAAAGATGCGTTAAATGTGCTGAGGGGCAGCAGGGGCTATAACAGACATGGTCCATGTCCTAACGAATCTCCCATCTCTCTGGGGAGATGCAACAGGAACCATTAGCATACAAACATGGTGCTGAGACCACAGATGCATGGTTAAGGGTGGAGAGAGCCTACTTTGGGCAGGAGCATCAGAGAAAGCTTCTCCAGTGAGCTGACATTTAGGGTGATGATAAACAGAAGGAGCCAGCTATGGGAAGAGCAAGAACAGTCTTGCAGGCAGAGGGAACAGCATATACAAAATCCCTGAGGTAGGAAAAGCCTGGCTTGTTCCATAAAGTGAGGGGACCCAGCATGGCTGGAGGCTGGCAGCCAGGGAGCAGAGTGATACGGAGGAAGAGGAGAGGAAGGCAGGGGCCTGGTCAGCTGGGCCCTGCATGGGGTTTGGGTTCATGCCAAGTGCAGTGGGAAGGTTACGTCGGAAAGCTCTACAGTCAGATCTGCTTTCAGAGATTCTCTGTCCTGCTGTGCAGGTAGGAGGGCAAGAGCCCAGCTAGGAATACCAGGTTAGAGGCCCACGGATAAAATTATGGGGTTGGAGCGTTTGGGAAATGATGCGGAGGGCACAGATTTGAGGGCTGTCCTGAGGAGTGAATCAGTAAGACTTAGTAGGCCTGGGTAGGTAGTAATAGGAGGGCGAGGCGGTTTCTAGCAGAGTATGTTGAGATGGGAGAGAATCTATGGGGGAATGGGTTTCGGAGGATGGATCAAGAATTAGTAGCTCTATCACTTTTCCTTACTTGTGGAGTTTTCTGATGCTTCCGC